GTTCAAATATGACCATTATAACCGGCTATAACAAGTTACAGTCGGTCATAATGGTTATATGTGAACACTTGCAACAAGTTTGTTGCCTAGATATGTATAAAAAAAATAAACCATACGTGAACTAAACGAAAAAGTAATTACCTTTATAAGTCAATTTTTTTTATTAAGACGGTCGATGTAGCATAATTATCAAATAGCTCTATATATGAGACAAAAGCAATAATATCGATGTAGATTTAATAGATGGAGGAAATTTCATTGGAGATGATGTTTTTCTTCAAATTATTGATCTCGATCTCTAGTACTTTTATTCTCTAATAAATTTTAATTTTTATCTTTGATATCTTAAATAATAAAATTTTATAAAATTATTTTTTTTCGTGTCAAATCTGAAATTTTGACAAAAATAGTGTATTTCAAAAAGATATTTACCAAAATGGTATGGTTTTAAAAATATTACCATTTATGTTAAATTTTAAACCAAATCAAACTTAGAATGTAAAATAAAAAAGAAAGGGAAATGAATTATCAAGATAATTACATTTTTTTTTTCAGATTTGGATAACTTTTTTCAATAACTTGTTGGAAGTGTTCGCATATAACCATTATGACCGGTTATAACTTGCTATACTTGGTCATAATAGTCATATGTGAACACTTCCAACAAATTCGTTACATAGATGTGTAAAAAAATGTTACTTAAATGTGAAGAAAACTAAAACGTAATTACCATGATAAGTAAAATTCTCAAACAAATAAGTATAGAAAAGAGTTCGGTTTAATAAAACTCGTTGATTTTCAACACTGTACCTACATGTTAATACTTGCTGGTCACAATTATGTGTTCATTTATACTGTAATTGACCGTTACGAATACTATTACCCACAACATTAAATAAGAAATCATTTGTATAAGAATGTAGTTGAGTATGATGGGTGAACCCCTCATGCATGTCAGTGATAGTAATGACCATCATCATATCATATGTAAACCACCTTTTGGTGGTTCGGTGGTTACATCTCAATTTACACGAAACATGCAACCAACCATTGGCCCAACTTATTATTGTGTAAAAGCTTTGACATTGTTTGTTTTTCAAACCAATTACTAAATAAATAATAATAAACGTCAATCGCAAAATATTAGTACTATTTAGACCAGAGGGGGTGAAATGCGGTTTCGGCTGATGTGGCATATGAAACCGCAGTGAACACCCCCCCCCCCCCCCCAATGTGGTTGGGGTGTACTGCCAAAATTAGGGGCGCTTCCTCTTTCTCACTCTTCTTCTCTCTCTTCTTTCTATTTTCTCTTTCTATGGAATACCACTCCTTGGATGTGGTAAAGAAGTGTGACAAAATGAGGGACCACTCACTCCAGCCTTACGGTGAGTCCTAGTTTGAATCCTTAGCCTCCTAAATGAAATTTCATTTTTCAACATAGGCTCTAATCGTAAAGCCACCAATTATTTGGCATTTTATACATGGATAAGTTTTAATAAATCTTTATACTTTTAAATAAACCATCACCTATCATTCAATTATAAAACTCGTCTAGCCTTCTATTTTACATAATTTATAGTAAAAATGGCCAAATAAATAATTCAAAAACAATAAAACTATTATTATGTTTTTCAATTAATTCTAAATTGTTAAAAAGGTAGTGCAAAACCAGATGGATTTGTCTTTTATCCAACATCGGATACCTTGTACTATTTTGTGACATTATTGTTCTTGATGGTTTTATGGAAATGTAAACCCTAAATTAACTCAATAACAGGTTTTGGGCCATGGTCAAGGGTCAAATGTACTTTTGTTTTTAAAGTACTCGTCCAATAATATCCTTGTCTGATGTAAAGTCCTTTACGATCTACTTAGGGATCCCCATCAAGCTTTTGCCACAATATCTAAAATGTGTTATTATTTTTACCCTTAGATGCTAAATGCATCTCCTAATATGAGACATATATGTGAAGGGCGGATATATAGCATCTAAATGAAAGGCGGGCTGTTATGTCGATGGTGGATTATATTTGTATTAGTTCTTTTAATTTGAATAAGACGTAAGTTCCATAATTTAGATTAGTTTGTTTGGTGTATGTCCCTAACTCTAAACTCTTTTGTTTCTTGACTTGAGCTTCCCGTTTAAGTCATTTGTTTTTGTGCTAATGCAATTTGTTCGCCATTCAAAAAAAAAAGACAACATGTAAATGCTTACCCTTAATTTCCTTCAAAAAGGATTAATTTTGTTTAAAAATTATGTGTGAAGGCCGGATATGTAGCATTATGCAAATGCTTACCATTAGTTTCCTTCAAGAAGGGTTATTTTTGTTTTAAAGAATTGTTATGTATTAAATATTGATGTTGAATACCTTTGGTCCAAACTTTGCATACCCTTTAATCTCGTGTAGGCAAGCAAGAACATATTTATTATTAAAAAGAGGGGTAACACATCCTAGATATATAAAGAATTATGAAACTTTTAAATTTAACATAATCCAGTCGTTTTACTCCACATGGAAACACGACTATCGACATCTAATTCCTCTATCCTATTCTAATGGGATACATGGGGTGTATTGTTGTTGAAGTTGTATAACAATCAGACCCTAACAATCATCTTTTATCTTTTACTCTCAATTTTGTCAAGTAACGTCTACATATTATCGAAAAACAAAGAAATAAAAAACATGCAAGATTGGATACTAATTCAACATGCATCATACAATACAGAGATGGAATAATAATGTTTAAATGGACAGAAATCATTATTATCTTTGAATGGGTTGTGAGGTATAAGTATAATAACAATGGATGCACATGCATTCAACTCTCATCTACCCATAACATCCCTGTACTTGCCATCTATTATTTATATTCGTTTTCTATAACATGAATCATGGGACAACAAATTAATTATGGCTTCATGGTTGTAATATGATCAATACATCTTTAAATGCACCACCTTATCTTTTATCTTTAAAATTTAATTATATGTTAAGAAGAAGTTTATGAGTTGTTTTGTTTTCATTAGGACCAAAAATATATAATAAGAAAGATAAACTTTAAGAAATACGCATTTAAGAATTGAATTTGTTAATATCAAAAATTATTATGAATAAGTCTTTCAATCATTGAAACCGATACATTTTTTTTTTATCTTAAAAGAATAAATAATGGAATAGAAGATAAAACCAATGAGAATGGAGAGACTTGTGGCATAAAACCTGTCGGATACATCCGGAATCTCTTGTCCACACGGCCACACCACCACTTTGACGACAATGTTTCTTCCTTTGTGTCGTCCCATGTTTCACTCCCCCATTCCCACTTCTTCTCCCTCAATATAATATAAATATTACCACCACCAGACAATCCCTAACTAAATAAACATTAACCTTTGTACTTGGGCTGTCTTCAGAGTATCTTTTGGAAGTTTTAACTCTTTATTTATAAATTGTAGAGTAAATTACATGTTTGCTCCCGCCGGTTTGATAAACATAACACATTTAGTCAACAAGATTCATTTATTGCACTATTGGTCCCCAATTCATACTTTGTAACACCTTTAGTCCATATGGTTTCCCGACATTAAGTTTGAACCGTATTTTGGAACAAATCGTCGGATTCTAAACCTAAATCTATGTTCTGTTTTAATGTGCGAGTCCAAAAGACAAATTTTCCAATTATTGTACTCCTACTTAACATCATATATGTCTATATATCTTGAGTTGAAATATGAAAGGAATAGTCAAAGTAGGAATCTAAAAAACTTTCCGATTAACAGGAAAGAATCTAAGAAGTTCATCATGTTAGAACTTGTTTTTTTTATTCCACATATGTTACAAAGGCCCCAAATGCGTCTAAGAAAAAAAGCTTAGGTTAGCCACTTTGGTCCTGAAAGCAACCAAATACAATACCCTTATTTTAGATTTACTTTAGGGTGACCTGATGCCTATCAAATATAAAGACTAAGCAGTCTAAGCATCTTTTGCAAAAAGCCTAAGGTAGCCGATATTTTGGTTGCAAGTAACAAGATACATCTATACCAAATATACTTACATAGGATATTACATTTTGTTACTGTTGAAGTAATAGGCTTGGGAATGTTTCAAAATGTATTGTATATCCTTACAATTTAGGGTTTATGTTGCAAGCTGTAATGTATTTGGTTATGTGTATGGGCCTTTTTATTTTTTTCTTTTTTAAATATGTGTTTTTATATGTATTCCTAAAACGATTGTATGATGTTTGAAGTATGATAAGGTAAACATCAAATTCTATAACATAAACAGCAAGCTAAATTCATGCATCCTATTGGACAAACTCATTTTCAACTTAAATTTGTATTCGTGGTGGTATATATATCTAATTCTTAACGAAGACATATGGACATGCACATGTAGACTTCAATATAAGAGTTCAAAATGTGTGCCCATAGTGTACATTGTGTGCGTTCGGAATGTATCTTATTCCTACCATGTTATATTATGGAATAACTTTACGTCAAATCCAACCAACTACAATATCACTCAGGAACAAGCATTAATAGCAAAACATTAACAGTCTCTAATGTGGTGTTGTAATGTGGTGTTCAGAACAAGATGGTCATTTTGCAAATGTGAGAAAATATTGATAACTTTTGTTAAGTATCTTGGTCATAATAGTTAATTTTGTTAATATCATTTCCCATATTTGGTCATCAAAAGATCACCTCTAAAAGAATTATCCAACTTTAATTTAATAATTTTTATATCCAATTCGTTTTAGTTAACGAAATACCTTCACTAAAAATGTGTTTCACAATTAAAACATAGCATTGCAAACTTTACCATGATATACAGCCGAAACTTAAGAAAAAGAATCTTGAAAGCCACTTTGTCAAGTTGAACATAACTAATACCAAATTGACCTATTTGAAACCTTTTGTTAAGCTCAATGGCACCATAAATACATTAACAAGGCAATGAAGACAAACACCCTATTACTTACAACAAATTTAAGGGATTTATCTACACACTATATCAACCATATTACATGATACAGTTTTGTTGTATTCATACATCATACCAAATCTTCCTACAAGAATCATACTCAAACTCTCATCATACTTATTTTATAATGTGCAAATGAAGTTCTCTCTACATGATCAATTGCATACATCAACAATATTCAAGAAACCGAATATCAAACAACAATTGTACTCTCTACATGACAAACATAGTCAGACCAATTATCCACGAAAAAATATTCATCAAATTCCTGTTTTAATTGTCTGTATCTACCAATGATACCTACACATTAGAATATATCAAGATCCAAATTAAAATTGGAAAATTTCAAGTTTTTTATTTTTTCTTTTCTTTTTGATTTGATGTTTAAAGTGTGGCATTATTTGTGTTTATACATAATTCATTACCAGAAGGATATCTTCATCTGTGCCATAGGATTTACGAGCTTCTTCCAAGCAGTTGGATGAGATCCTATCACTTTTCCTTTTTACATATTTAACAATTCATCAATATGAGTTACAAAATTGCTATTAAAAAGACAAAATTTTGAAAAAAAAAAAGAACTTAATAAAATCAAAAGGCCATTATGTATGTGTTCAAAGATAAATGATATTCATACCTAGAACTGGCTGGATCTCGGATCTCAAATTCATCATTATGAGCATCATAGCCACATATCACAACATAATGACCTATAAAAATCATCATACCTGTTAATGATTTTCTTCAGTTTTCATCTATAAATAGTGAGGGTAGAAAGGTCAATTCTCACCTGTGTATGCTGCAGTGCCATTATAAAACTGTGGCATATGAACATCCTCCTTCCAAGACTTGCTACAAAATTAGAATTAATTATAAAAGCTTCTCGATTTAATTATACATTGTTAATTTATAAAAATATTTGAAGCAGTGTACCTCAAAATGCACTGGTCAACTAAGGCAATCACAACATATTTTCCTGATAGGATTAAAAAGATGATTTCTTCTCCCTTAATTGACCTGAACTGTTAAAAAGGAGAAACTTTAAGGTTCATGAACAAAGCATCAAGATGTTCATATGTTCTTGTACCTCTATTTTTATTCCCTCTTCTACTGATCTCTGAAATAACATATCTACTCTCTTGATATCAGTAGCCAATTGCTCCTACAAAAAAGGGGGGATTTTAGCATCTAAAAGTGTAACTAAAATATCTATTAAGTTGTGGCTCAATGAGGATGCGAATTTCAAATATCAATTACCTTGTAAAACGTCTCCACTGAAAAATCTGGATTGGCACCTAAAGTTACTGTGAAATATGAGAATCTAATGGAAAGCTTTTGCAATAAATATGCCAGATCCACTGTCCAAATACTACAAAAGTACAGACAATGATAAGTTTATTCAAAGATTGATTATATTTTGGATATTTATATGTTATGAAGAAGAAGATACCTGGTTGTACAACACAGATCCTCTAAATCTTGAATATCAAAATGGTTGAGACCAAGTGTTCTCAAAACCATCAGAACACATGCAAGACCACAATCCCATGATCGTAACTGTTTTATATGTGGGACCTAAACAGCATCCAGAAATATAAAGTTCCTTTTAGAGAGATGATAATGCATCTTGATATCTTGAATTCAGGAAGACAGGTTTTCAATTGATAAATGGACTTACTTCAACAAAGTGCGAGTGGCCCAATACTGTTTTGTTGACGTTCCTATTTTTCAATGATGGTTTTGAATCGTATGGTTCAGCAAAACTCATATTGTGTACTTCTTCACGATCATCATGTCCTTCGACTTTTAGTAGCTTGTTTAAAAGGATATGTAGAGGCCACATTTATACCTAACACAAGAGATTGTTTCGGTGATAAGGTGACAAATATGTAGAGCATGACAGTTGCAGATGCTTAATTATCTGATTCTGATTCAATCTCAAGTAATCGCATGTTTATGATTTAAACAGACAGTCACAAAAGGAACAAATCAAATACGAAACTAAAAGAAACCTAAAATTGCCCAAACAAGATGAACAGCCTTTAAACTATAAGGTCGAATTCACACCAACGAAGTTCAACGTTCTAAAGAACGCTTCGGGCTTACAGATAACAAAGGATGAGGAACTTATTTGCCGAATTAGCATTCAAAAGGCTAGCTCGATAAACTTCTATGAAGTATAAGGATTAAGGATTAAATATGAAACGGAAATGGAAGCGAAGAGATAAGGAGAGGGTCAATTACCTTTGAGGTCGAATCCGATCAGGATCTGAAAAAGCTTTGACGTTCGTCTTTGATTCACCTTTTCTTCCACCAATTTCTCCGTATGTAGGCTGAGACCCCTCTCTTTCTTCTCCTAAATTTTGGCGTCTGTTGTGAAAAATACATCGTCGAATTTGTATCTCTATTAATTAATTATGCGTAACGTCGACGGCTGTCGGTTTATCGGCCACCGGATCTTCGATGGCCGATGGGGATATTGTCGGGTCATATCAGATTGTTGGTGGGCGGTCTAATAGGGCCAAATAGCCCAAAGGACCATCCCTCCAAAGTTCAAACCAATTTTTTCGTTATTGGGCTATTCGTAAGAGATTTACGGGTTTGCGTTTGACTTCAAACAAAGGGCAGAGGACGTAAAAGTCGAGAACACGATTGTCTTTCTAATACGTTTTCATATCCCTCCAAAGTTCAAACCAATTTTTCGTTATGTATATATTTTAGTGAAATTTGCATTTTGAGTATAATGGGGTGTTTGGGCGTTGCTTATTTGAAATAACTACGTTAATTTATCCGATGTCAAAATAAAATTTTATAAAAATGTTTGGATTAGCTTATTCAATTTCAAACGTAATACTTTGATAAGTTGTTTTCTAGTCTTTGACAAAATTTGTATTATACATATAAAAATGATTAAAAAAACGTCTTATATAGATTTTTTTTAAGAGAAATCTCCAAAAAAGTCATAATATTTTACCATAATTTACAAACAATATCCAAAATTAAAATTTGTTTACGAAAAAACATGAATTACAGGTAAAAATGACAATTTAACCCTATTTCCCCGGTTTACTGGTTTCATTACTTAACCGTTTCCATTAAAATCTCATTATTTTACCATAATTTACGAATAAGTCACATTATATGAGAAAATAATAATGCGATGCTGCAAAGAATTTCATAATTATCGAAATGACTGAAATTTAATAAAAACTAATCAGGTGGTGTTCAAATAAAAAAGAAAACCCAACAAGGATGTAAAGCCAAATATGAAACAACATGAATGTTCTAAGAAAAGGAAAAAACTAGGTTAAGATAAAGGTAAATAAATAATTAGGTTTTCTATTTAAATAAGAAGTAATTAATTTATATAAAACTAGGTTATAATAGGTGGAAATCACGGTTACAAAATAAATTAAGCTTTTATAATAAATAAATAAAACTAGTAACTGCTAATAAATTATTTTAAATAAATTATTAATATATATATATATATATATATATATATATATATATTATTTATGTAAAATTATAATCGTTGATTTAAATAAATATATAAAATTTATTTTGAAGATAAAGGTGCATGAATTGTTTTTATGTAATTAGATATAATTACAAAAAAAACGGAATCCAAGATTTTAATATTCATAAATTTAGTGGTTATATATGTAATCTTTCCTAATAAATGAAAATATTTTTGCCACTTGTGATCTTCTATCTTTCATTTTGACACATGTCATTTTTTTAGGAATTTTAAAATTATTATTTTCAACTTGTCATTTTTTTGAGATTTCAATTTTCTTAAAATAAATTTAAAAAATTATAATGGGTTTATATATATGTAAGGTTAGCCTTCTTTTAATTTGATAATAAATTCTCATAAATACTCTAAACGATTTGATTTCTTTCATAAATGCTTCAAAAGATTACACTTTGTTATAGAAAAGCATTATTTTATAAAACATTTGATATCGGTGTCAAATCAGTATAAACAAATAAATAAGGATTATGTGTTGTGCGTCCTCTTCCAGACGCAGATGTGGACAAGAGTCTTCAAACCTATTTAGACATCTTCTAGCTTAAACAAACACATATATCTTTGTTTTTTAAACTTAGATTTGTTCCAACTTTATCTATGATAAACAATATGGAAAAAAAGTTACAACACTTAAAAAAAGAGGTTTGACGACAGAATTATGACCTTTGTAACAAATTTATAAATAAAGATTTAGGTGTTGTTTGTTTTTTGCTGCAGATCTGCGTGACCTCTTCTATCTGCGCCGCGCAGACCACACGCAGACATTAGCATTCGCAGACTGTTTGTTTTTTTGAAGATTGCTGACCTAAAAATGTATGCGCGCCCTCTTCTTGGCACAGATGTGGACCAGAGTCTTCTAACATCTTCTAGCCTAAAAAAACACATATATCTTTTTTTTTAAGTTTTTTTTAATTTATATTTTTTCCAACTTTATTAATGATAAACAATTTGAAAAAAAAATATAATACTTAAAAAAAAACGTTCGACGACACAAACATGATATTTTTGACAAATTTATAAATAAAGGTTTATTACAATAATAGTTGTTGAAGTTGTTTATATAAATATGAAAAAAAAAATCATAATATATTCGTATATTTTTTTGCCAAATTTTGTAAAACATTATTTAATACAATATCGTCAATTTCTCGGGAAAATATTTATGGTACGTTTTTAATGGATTTAATTAAAAAAATCGAAGTTTATTTCCAACCATTTATGTATCAAATTCTTTGATCCCTAATTATAATATTTAGTTATAACTTTGTAACCAAAGTTGTTGGTTTTTATCAAATATATACGTTAATTCGTATCATTTTTATTTTTATTTTTATACAATAATACATAAAAGTTGATCTAGAATTGTTAGTTATTTATAACAAAGTCATAAAAATATTAAAAAATCACGTTTAAAAAAAACCAGTTTATTTAGATTTCAGTTTATTTTAATAGACCGCGGATGTTAAAAAAAACAAACAGTCTTTTTTTTTCAGGCTGCAGACGTTTGGTCCACCTCTTTTACTACAGAGGTCTACAGATGTGGTCTGCAGACTGCAGACATTTTATCTCAGAAAAAACAAACAACACCTTAATTACAATAATGGTCGTTATATATATATATATATATATATATATATATATATATATATATATATATATATATATATATGAAAACAATTCCTAATATTGTATTATATTTTTTATGCCAAATTTTATAAAACATTATTTAATGCAGTATCATCAATTTTTTGGGAAAAATATTTATGCCTAGTTTTTAATTAATTTAATTGAAAAAGTAAAATAAAAATTTTCATTTAAAATCAAAGTTTATTTTTATCCGTTTTATGTGTTAAATTCTTTTATCTCAAATTGCATTGTTTAGATATAACTTTGCGACCAAAGTTTGTTGTTTTTTTTATCAAATATATACATTAATTCGTACCATTTTATTTTCACTTTTTATACAATAATTTATAAAGTTTGTCCTACATTTGTTAGTTATCTATAATAAATGCATAAAATTATTGAAAAACTCTTTTTAAGTTTTTATTTTAAATCAGTTTAATTATATTTTAGTTTATTCTAGTAGTTTACAGATGTTAAAAAAACAAACAGTCTTCTCAGACTGCAAACGTTTGGTCCACCTTTTCTACTACAGAGGTCTGCAGATGTGGTCTGCAGACTGCATACATTTTGCCTCAGAAAAAACAAACAACACCTTAATGTCACTCTGTCCCCACAAACTATCGCCTTTGTTTTGAAAGGTCCCTGATTTTTTTTTTTGCATCACAAGGGTGTAAACTTGATTTTTACGTTTTAAAAGGTCCTTATTTTTTAATTTGTTAACTTGTTACCGGTAAACCCAGTGCAACACTCGTTTTCCAGGTATTTTCATTCATCGATCAAAGTTTAAAATGAACGTACGGGGAGTATGATGGGCATACTAGGGCATACATAGTATGTTGGGAGTACCTGGAGTAGGCTGGTGGTACGTGATCAGTGCCTAAACCCTATTTTCGTGGTTTGAGCCCTATTTAAGCTCCTTAACTTCCCCACACCCATTCTGTTCTCAGCCTTCATCTCTCCAACACCTTCTCTTGAAACCCTAACCCTAGTTTGAGCCTTATGAGCAAAAAGAAGGTGTTTTTAAGTGCTTTGAGAGTGTTCGTGGTGCACCTTGGAGAAGAAGGAACTCATTGAAGAAGCATTAGTTGCATTGAAGCTTGTAGATCCAGACCTTGTTCACCTTGATCTTTCTTCTGGATGTATAAAGTTTGAATATTGATGATGAAATTGTCAGATCTAGCTAGTTTTCGGTGTTATGAGCTTTTGGTCACTTTAAGTGCATAAAGTTTAGATCTTAAAAGTTTGTGACCTTGTTATGGATAAAGTTGGAAACATTATCCATCTAAACATCATATTGATTAAGTTATGAAGGTTGGAGACTTGGACTTAATGGATTAAGTTGAAAAAGATGCACTTTTGGTCCCCTTAAGACTTAAAGACTAGATCTTGTTTGTTGGGACCATTATAATGGATAAAGTTGGAAACTTTATCCATTATGGAGCTATTAGGAACAATAAAAATGTGATCTTGGTCCTTCTATCTCTTGCATGCAAGAGTTGTGATGTCTTAATGGATTAATAAGTTAGGGTTTTAGCTTTTGGACTTTCCCTAGCCATGGAAAGTCATGAAGGTGGAAACTTTATAACTTAATACAATGTTTTGAGGCTAGATATGAGTTTGGGTAAAAAGTCCTTACAACTTACAAATTACACCCTTTGTTTGCAAATAAAACGTAATATAATGGTAAAAAAGGGTATCGATCCTCGGGGAAATGGTTGTATTCAATCACCAATGCAATCCAATAGAACTAGCGTAAATAAACTAACTAACTACAATTAAACTAAAAAAAGGGGGGGTGTTGTGATTGCTTGAAAACTAAAAGACTTGAATAACTAAAAAGCTTGCAATTAAGCAAGATGATGAGATGCTCAAATATTGGAGAGAATTGGTTAACCAAGGCAATTCAACACAATGAACATTTGTGTGTTTATCATTAAGATTCAATATGAAGCTTATCATTCATACCAAATTGGTTATAGCAATCATGAAGCATGATATGCCAAGATTCATCATAGGTAGTGTGGAGGTTGGGGAATCCCACAACACACCTTCTTAATCAAAATCAAAGATCCAATTGAAGCAATTGAACCCAAGAAGTTAATTAGCCTTAAGAATGAAGGAATCCCCAATTCCTAGAGGATGTCAATGCTTACACATCCATAAAGAAGTTATGATTCATAAGCTAGAGATAATTTCTACCCTCATAAAGCCCTTGTTCTAAGTAAATTCAATGATTCAATGCT